AGCCCGTTCAGCAGCCGGGCCAGGCGGCGGCGCTGCCAGACGTGGGCGCCCAGCAGAGCCAGCGATATGGTAACATCGCCGGCCATCGTGGCCAGCGCGATGTGCTTGAACAGGGTCGAGTGCTTCACGTTGGTCGCCTCGTAGAGGGCCAGGCTCTGGCGCAGCAGCAGCGGCGACAGCGCCAACAGACCGAGCCAGTGCAGCCAGGCGCTGGCCGTCACCAGGCGGCGACAGCGGGCGCCACGCCCCCAACTAAAGCTGAGCGGCGCCAGACCCAGCGCCTGCCACAGGCGCAACAGCAGCAGGAGGCACAGCGCACCGAAGTGTGGCAAACGCGGCATGTTGAATGCAACTGAAAGAGGCGCGTGGCAGTTGCAAGCGCAAAACCAAGTTATATAAATGCACTTACCGCCCCATGCCCCTTCCAGTGATTATGAGCATTCAAGCTGGGCCACGGCTGACTGTTAAAAATCTAACCACAGCTATAAACGTTGCTCGCGCAACACGTTATCGCGTCCCAGCGGCATTAGCGCAATTCCAGATAAGTGTGACAACAAAAACTCTATCGTTAAAGAAAAACAATGAAAGCAAAATATAGCGATCGATAGGTAGTAGTTACATATACTAAATATGCTCTATAAAGAAGACAATTAAATGAGTTTCGATATGTGAACACAGATACAGATACAGATACATATACAGATACAGATACAGATACAGATACAGATACAGATACAGATACAGATACAGATACAGATACAGATACAGATACAGATACAGATACAGATACAGATACAGATACAGATACAGATACAGATACAGATACAGATACAGATACAGATACAGATACAGATACAGATACAGATACAGATACAGATACAGATACAGATACAGATACAGATACAGATACAGATACAGATACAGATACAGATACAGATACAGATACAGATACAGATACAGATACAGATACAGATACAGATACAGATACAGATACAGATACAGATACAGATACAGATACAGATACAGATACAGATACAGATACAGATACAGATACAGATACAGATACAGATACAGATACAGATACAGATACAGATACAGATACAGATACAGATACAGATACAGATACAGATACAGATACAGATACAGATACAGATACAGATACAGATACAGATACAGATACAGATACAGATACAGATACAGATACAGATACAGATACAGATACAGATACAGATACAGATACAGATACAGATACAGATACAGATACAGATACAGATACAGATACAGATACAGATACAGATACAGATACAGATACAGATACAGATACAGATACAGATACAGATACAGATACAGATACAGATACAGATACAGATACAGATACAGATACAGATACAGATACAGATACAGATACAGATACAGATACAGATACAGATACAGATACAGATACAGATACAGATACAGATACAGATACAGATACAGATACAGATACAGATACAGATACAGATACAGATACAGATACAGATACAGATACAGATACAGATACAGATACAGATACAGATACAGATACAGATACAGATACAGATACAGATACAGATACAGATACAGATACAGATACAGATACAGATACAGATACAGATACAGATACAGATACAGATACAGATACAGATACAGATACAGATACAGATACAGATACAGATACAGATACAGATACAGATACAGATACAGATACAGATACAGATACAGATACAGATACAGATACAGATACAGATACAGATACAGATACAGATACAGATACAGATACAGATACAGATACAGATACAGATACAGATACAGATACAGATACAGATACAGATACAGATACAGATACAGATACAGATACAGATACAGATACAGATACAGATACAGATACAGATACAGATACAGATACAGATACAGATACAGATACAGATACAGATACAGATACAGATACAGATACAGATACAGATACAGATACAGATACAGATACAGATACAGATACAGATACAGATTATATCGTACATGTAGTACTCATTTATTAAAATAATTATTATTTTTTAATTATTATTTTTCGGTTTGACGCGCAAATTAAAAGTTTTAGTTAATGTGGACATAAAATTGGGCATTTCCTTCATCTGGTTGAGCGCCTCGTTCTTCGTGTTCGATTGATACTCGTAGGCGACCTTGCGATTGACTGCGGTCAGCAGACGCAGCAGATCCACGCCCTCCGGCCGGCTGGCCTCATTGCTGGCAGCCGAGTCGAGCACCTGACAGAGACTCTGGATGAACCAGGAGCCGACCTCAACATTGCGGAACGAGTAGAATCCTGGAAATTGGAGTCCAGTCTTTAGATATTGAATTTTATTTCTATGATTCGGTTTACTCACTCTCGAAGGTTGAGTAGAAGGCCAGCATATCCGCCGTGCTGGGTATGGCATAGGTGATGGGCTGTGCTGTGGGTGCTGCAGCTGGAGCCAGCTCCCTGGTCATGACCACGATGCCGGAGTACTCCACGGCCCGTTCCACATTGTCGCCGCGACAGGCTTGTATGAAGAAGAGCTTTGGCTTGTTCACCAGGGTCTTGCAGCTGTCGCCCAGAAAGGGATTCCACAGACGTTCAACGGGATACGCCATGTCCTAGAAGCAAATTTTATATCCAATAGAGATCTCTGTGGCGACCAATCTGAGACATACCTTGGCATAGACCTTGCCCTCATCGCCGTGCGACATGACGACGAGAGCGAAACAGTCATTTTGACTGTGATCCTCGCGTGCCACTGCAACCGAATGGAATTTCCGATAAAAGTCATTATCATATATTAATATACACATACTTATTTATATAAATAGAACAGGCATTACTCACCCTCTCTGAGCAAGTCGTTGATTTCGGCGAAGGTTAGATCGTTATAGGTGCGCACATCGAACCCATAGCCGAGCAGAGATTTCTGTATCGCGTCGCGATCCCGTTCGGTGCCCACGCGCTGCTTGTGTCCCTTGACATCCTTATGATTGAGGATCAGGGCAATGCCGGCACGTGGACAATTCTCGTAGGTATCCTCGGTCGTCGGTCTGGAGATGATGATTCGGCTCAGATCCGCCTCTGACGTGGGCGTACTAACGACTTTCGTAGCATCCGCTTTGTCTTTCTTGTGCTTGTTATTTTTGCCGAAATTGAGCGAAAAGTCCGTATCGTCCATGTCCGTCGTGTACGCGATCCAGCTAGTGACTAATGGCCAAAGCTCTCGCCTCAATTCTAATGCTGCCAGCTGTGCTTATCTTATCAATGCGCTTCTTATCACCTTCAAAGCTCGCTCCAACACACGCGACTCGGCTCCTCTCCCCCAAACTCTTTGGTATCTAACTGTTGATTAGCCTGCTTCAAGGGAAGTTCTCTTCATTGCCGGCAATTGGCAGCTAATAGAATGAGTTTTTCAGCTGCAAGCAGACAATTAGATTTAGGCAACGAGTCACGCCCACAAATGAGAAATTTTGGGGGCCCTTCATCCCGCAGTTGTCGTCAATGGGCGCGCTCTTGACATTGCTCATGGAAATTACAAACATCCGCCAGCTCGGTCCTGCTCCACAACCTTGGCTATTAATGTGTTTTCCATAAATCGCAATACGCAAAAGGGCAAAAGGAAAAAAAAAAAAAAAAAAAAAAAATAGGAAGACATCGAAGAAATGACGTTGAATATAGAGACACAGGACGCCAAAGTTCGCAACGCAATTCAAATTTTGCACGCACACAAAGCAACGGAAACCGGAAATGAGTATGGCACCCAAAGAGCACGAAAGTGTTTCGCCTCAGAGGACTCCATTGCAGTGGGCTTGTGTCAGTGTGGCGGCCGCCAGTACGCACGCAGTGCCCAATTGTCAGTGTACTGGCATCCAAAGGTACCGTTAGTGCGTTGCGTTCAAAGAGAGCGCTTCGCCTAAGAGAGTCGGCGCCGGCTAAGAGAGTGTGCGTGCGTGTGTGTTGCGCGCCGTGTGGAACGTGTGGCAAATGAAACAGTGCTGCAGGCCTGGCCATAGAAAAACTATTTTGGCTAATTAATAGGACTAGATTATTTTCATGGAATGCTTTTTTGTTGGTCAACAGGAGCTCTGGTTGGTTAATTTAATTATTACATTATTTTTCGTGCTGTAAAGCTTTGCAAACAAGGGCTAAATTGATATAATTAGATTAATTAAAACAATGCAGCTACTATTCTTAATGCGAAATTCCATTAGTTCAAGCAAAGAATTTTTGTCATTATTCCACATCTGCATTAATTCCATTTTCAATTGAATTTAATTATGGCTTTCCCATTATACGCTCAATTTCACAGTGCTTTAGTTTGATGCGACCGCAGACAAAAATCAAACCTTCCGTCGATGGCGATTGCCAATGCGATTGCATTGCAGAGAACAACAATCCAAATCAGCAGCATCAGCGATGGCAAGAAGAGAACATATACACGATAACAACAGCAGCATCATCTACATACGCACAGTGAGGCAAAATGGTTGTATTGCGAAGGTAGATTTAAATTAGCTTAAATATTTTAGAATTGCTTGAATAAAAATATTCAAAGAGATACTCATAATATTATGAGAGTGATTTATAGTTTTAATCATATTTATAAGATTAATTCTACTTATAACGATTTATTTCTTATTCTTCTACTGAACATTCTGCATGATAAAAATATTGGATTGCGTTATACGTTTTACTTAAAGTTAATATATGAAATATACAATATGAATATATCCCGTTCTACGTATACGCATTGAATTTGTATTATAAAGATTCTCTAATAATAATACAAACGCTTCACAAAATAAGAATAATATTGAATTTAAAGCATTAAAAGATATTCCTATTGCCCATGTAGCTATCGCATCCACAACATGCGCAGAGAGCCACTGTGCGACGCTGGCAGCGGTCGCAGCAGCAAGAGCAATAGCAACAGAAGCAGCGGCAGCAGCAATAGCAACAACTTAGTTTCATTTCCAGTTTTCAGTTGCGCGACGACTTGCATTGCGAGCGGACGTGTTGAAACGGTGCGGAAGCGAAGCGATTGTCAAAACTAAACAGAAAACATAGCGAACGTCGAGTTATTTCAGTGTGTTTGTGCGAGTGAGTGCAAGTGTATGAGTGGCTCGCGAATAATTTGCCTGCAGCACCCGATTCGTCCAAGCATTTGGGAGCTACTAGTGCCAGCCGTTTACTCCGCGCGCGGTACTTGTATTCATTTTAGCGTTTCTGTTGCTTTTTGATTAAAGGCCTCCCAGCTACAACAACAACAACAGCAACAGCTACATCAGCTGAAGAAAAAATACAAAAAGAAGAAAGAGAAAAAGAAAGGAAAGCAAAGCCAAACAAAACAAAGCTGTAACAACAACCGCAACAACAAGCAAGAAGTGTCTGTGTGCCAAGTGCTAGCTTTAAATTATTGTTGGTTGCGGCACTTTTTTGGAAATTAAATTATGTTAAGTGCATAAATCGTTCGTCGCATCAGCAGCGGCAGCCGCAGCAACAACAATAACAACAAAATAAGCAACAACGACAGCCGAAAAAGTGAAACGCCAAGGTGCAAGCACAAAGTATGTAAAAGAGTTGCACTCGACACTCATACACACACACACACACACACACACACACATGCACACAAGCAGACATACACGCATTCAATAAAATCAACATTCTTACATGTTGTGAGCATATGTGAGTATGTGTGAGTGTGTGTGTGTGTGAACATGTTTGTACATAATGAGCTGGTTTACCCCTCTATACATGTGAGCTACACGTATGAATGTGTTTGTGTGAATGTGAGTTTTGTATGCAAAACGTGTACAACAACAACAAATTAGGGTGGTGGTTGAGCGAATGACAAAAGGCAAAAACTCACAGCATAAACGAAATCAAATCAAAAGCAGCTCAACAGAAGAATAAAAATTCATACAAAAAAGAAAAGAAACAACAATGAAAAAAAAATGCCTGCACGCTTTTAGGCGAATGCCCGCCAAAGTGCAAAAAAGAGAGAACCGTAAAAAAAAGTTGGAGCCGTTAGCTTAGGATTGCCGAAGATGCAATACACTTGCTTAGATCTGATTTATGATTAATTACAATTTTATTGAACTCTATATTATTCCCAGTCTTCCATTCTGACGATTATATAAGAAGAAGATTATTATTAATTATTAATTCGCTCGATTTCTAGAAAATTCAATGTTAAGTATCGCTTGATATATACTATATGAAATAAATATATTTTGATCGACTATTTGAATATCCCATTTATTCAAGAAATTTTACATGGAGTTTTATATTAGTTTTATCTTAAAATTTTGATAATTTTTACATCGTTATATATATATATATATATATATATATATATATATATATATATATATATATATTTTTTTTATATATTTATATATTTTCAAATAACTGTTCTGTTACCTTTATTAATAACTTTATCAAATTTTAAAATTTATACATTAAAGAAAATATTTAAGAGAGAATATGGTATCAAGTTGGGCACCTTATCCAGGCAAAGTAGATTTAAATATCATATAACATATTTCTAATTAAATTTCCAGGATAAATTGCTTTATATACCTATCCATCCCCATCATATTCAACTATTTACTGATAAAATAATACTAGATAAAATACTGCTATTTTAGTATTTGCATAAGTAGGCATCTATCATTAAACGTCTCAGCATAGCCTGTAAGACAACAGTATTCCGTTATCTGGCCATTGTGTGACCAGTGTGACCAGCTGTCAACCGTTTCTACCTCTTCTTGAACGGTAAACCCTCTGCCGCAGCGGGACCAAGTTGAGTCGACAAATCTAATGAACTCCGAGACGGTGTTCAGAAATTACTGCACGCACCTTGCTCAACAAATATTTAACATACTTTATGACAGGCCCCAGTTGGCCAGAGGCATCCCAAGCATCCAGGTGGTTCAGGTGATTGTCCCAGAGGCAGTGGCTAGGTGCAAGGCGTAAAAAAAAAATAAAAAATATATTTATTTATGTTGCTTGTTGCTTGGCGGTGCCAGGCGCTTGGTGCAAAGGTTGCGCTTTTTGCCACACAACGACCCTTTATGCTCCCCGGGGGCAATTGGCCAGGCTGGTCGGATTCGCATTTTCGACGTTCTTTTTTTATGAACTTGGCTCTTATGAAATATGCAAGCTTTTAGATGCTTTGATAAGAGTGCTGTGAGAGAGCACGGTGAGGAGGGGCAGGAGGCTTAGGTGAATTGCCTTGGGACTGCTTTGATGTTGTGTGTGTGGGGGGCGATGCGGGCGACATGCAAACAAACATTAATTGTAACTGTAAATGGCGTGAACTGCTTGAATGGCTGAGTGAATGAATGAATGAATGAAATGGGCGCATGAATGACAGTCAAGTAGACGCGACTGCGGCAACTAAAAATTGCGTTAAATGGAGGCGGCAGCACCACCAGCAGCCACAGCAGCAGCAGCACCGCCAGCCGGCGACAATTTTGATGAACTTAACAAAACACTTGACAGCAACTGTGACAGGGCGAAGTGGCAACTGGCAAGGGGCAAGTGGAGCGGTGCGACGTTGGGGTGTTGGGGCCAGAGGCAAGCTGCTGTTTGGGGTGTGGGTTGAAAGACGAGCACAGTCCATGCCATCAACGAAATTATGACGCTAAATTGAACACGAAACGGCCATCGAGCCAAAGAGCAGAGCGAAGGCATGAACCATTCCTAGTTTCAAATCGAATAGAGGGGGTTTCATTTACCGCCCTAGCCCCTACCCCAAGCCCCTAACCCCTAACCTATCAAGCACATTTAACGCGCGAATGAACCAGCAACAGCAATCAGCGAAAGGGGAGGTTGGCGCTGGACAGTTAATGCCTCAGCCTGAAGTTCTGTTTGGGGTCGTCGCGCCATGGTAGCGGGTGTTGATAACAGCAGCAACAGCAGCAGCAGCAGCAGCGGTAGCCAACAGTTGAGCATAACAATAAAAGTCATAATAATAATAATAGACATAGAATTACGGAAATGATTTTTGGACTGATAGACAGACGGACAGGCAGGCAGGCAACAGAAAGGGGTAGCGCTTCACACGGCTATGTATAGACTTTAGCTGGGTGCGGATACGGATACGGGTCGGGCTGCTGTGGAGCTGCGGCTGTGTGGTTCTATGTCTGCTGCTGTCGCTAGTTAGTTGCCACCGCAAAAGCGGAAGGTGAAAATTAAGAAATTAGCGTGCAGAGCTGTCAAATCGAAAAATGGGGGTTGGAGCTGGAGACTCTGCGATGGGAGATGGGCGATGGGAGCTGCATGCAAATTGCCAGCCGCCGCTCACTTTAACTTAATTATATAATAAACGAGAAACTGAGGCAGAGAATGAGAGAGAAAAAGAGAGAGAGAGAGAGAGAGAGAGAGAGAGTGTGTGGCTTAAAGAGCAAGGTAGACAAAGTGAGAGAGAGAGAGAGAGACAGAGATAGCGATAAAAGCTGCTGCTGGTTTGCTTGGCTTTTGTAAATTAAATGAGCTGAATGCATTTAAGGCTTAAAAGCCGCAAATCAGCTCAAGCCAACGGCTTAGCGTACGACGCTGTCTTAAGTGAGTCAGCAGCCAGGCAGACATCGTGTCTGGGTAGAGAGGAGAAAAAAGAGACAGAAAAAGCACATATAATACCCAAACCACAATGCAATTATGCAGCACCACACCGACAAGGCAGACGGGCAGACGGGCAGACGGGCTGGCAGGCAGGCAGCGCAGCTTCCAGCCCAGCATAGCATAGCCAGAGACGACATCTTGTCAGCTGCTGAAAAATTGCAGGCCGTGAGTTGTGGTAGCGACAGGTTGCAAGGCGCACACAAATTACCCAGAGGCCAGCGTACCGGGAAAAACGTATAAAGCGCATTTAAATTTGCCATTTAAAGCCAGACAGAAGAGGCCTTAAGCCCCACCAGCGACCCACCGGCCGATTGTGGCACGATGAATGCAGCCAGTGGTCAGGCAGCATGCATTGCTGCGGCATTCTCTTCAGGTCGGCCAGGTTGAGGTGGTATGCATTGATGCGTATCCCTGATTAGTGAAGCCTACAATAGACCCGATTCCAGAATACCTGCATGCCCATTGTAGTTGACTTATCGCTGGGGCTTAACGGCGTTCTTAGCTCGACCCTGACATGAACGCACAATGTCCGCTTTAAAAAGGCTCTCTTTAAAAAAATGTAGAAAAAAAAAAAAAAAAAAAGCAGAATTTAAATTGTAATTTCCATTATATTCTTACTCATATTACAAAATATTCGAAATGTTTTTGTTTATTTTGATTCCATGGAAAAGTATTTCCATTTTCTGCATGAAAAGCGATATTTGATATGTATTCGGCATGCATAAAAATAATAAATTACAAACTTTTATGATTCATCATTTGAAGCTAGGCAATTAGCATATGTGGTCGCTGGTGATTGATTATTCTTTAATGTAAGCATGCTGTAGTCGAGAGCTCCCAACTAGGAGATACTCTGCATCCTGTGCATATCTATTCTAAAATTTAAATTCCTGAATTGTGTGAAAGTTAGGTATATAAATATCCATAATATTTAAAGACTGATCACAGGAAACAGGTCTGGGATTTTTGGATATTATGATCGATTATCATATTTAGGAAAATGGATTAAATGAATAGGAATAATCATATGATATGTACCGCTAAATACATTTCAATATGTAAATTCTCTAAGGATTTACAAGACTGCTACAGTCATACTAAGGAATAGATAATGCAACATTAAATCAGTCAAGCGTGCTTTTAAAAAAATATGTAAGTTCTATGGGGTCTGTCACATACATTTTCACAAAATCATATACACCGATTCCCCCGTTTTTTTTATGGGAATTCCATAATAAACCGCTGGGAAAATTAATGCAAGTTTTAATAAAATAAAATTCATCATCAATTCGTTAATAAAACATATATACATGCATATACAAATATATCTTTTTTTATAAAGAACTATAATCATTGAGGCTATTTTATTATTAATATACATGGAAAGCACTAAAAATAGTTTTTAAGATTTAATAATACTTTTATAATCTATAAGAAAATTAAACCAAGCTCAATTTAGCAATTTATAATAAGGAAAAGTATCCCGCTTATAAAACTTTTAGTTTTATCAAATGAAAGATCTCCAAGACAAGCAAATAGAGTTAACTTTTGTATACAAACAGTAAATGATATAAGTTCTGTTTTAGTTTGTTTATTTGTGTGTAAATGTTTCTGTTTAGCTTAGTTTGCTTTTAGTTGCCTATGGCTAGGAGATTAATGTCTTATTTGGTTGATCTTTTGTTTACATTAATGAATCGACTTATTTATCAATTTCCAATATACTTTCATCTTTGCGCAACCTTAAATAGCAGCCCGAATGCTTTTGAGTTTCAGCTTAAACGCTTTGGGCGCCTGCAAAAATGGCACAAAAAGAGGAAAAATTGATGGGCCCATCTATTGCGGGCTTTAACCAAAACAAGCCACATGACAGAACCGCACACATTCTTGTCCAGTGCTCAGCTGCCCTGTGCCCCGTGTCCTGCTGCCCTGCCAGTGT